CAACGATTGTGGGAGCAGCGGGCCGTAGGCCCGTGAATCGTACGTGCTCAAAAGTACCGAATTCTGACCCATGTCTTGAAACAAGGCCTGTAGCTATCACAGAGTGGGAGTTGACAACACCTGCCACAGAGAGAGGGCCATAGCTTGGATGCAGGGGGCAGGGTTTGGTTCAGGGTTGTGCATGCAGTGCGCGAGGTCCGCTGGACCGAAATACCTCAAGTCCAATCCCAGACCCGACCCGAAACTACAAGGCAGAACCATGAAGCCCTAAAGACAACCCCCCAAAGCGTGCCCCAGGCACTCGTTGTGGGTGTTAGGGGTGGGTAAGGTTTCTTGGTTTGTTAATCAAGCCCGAGCAAGCAGGATTTCGTTTAGGACTGGGAGCTGCAAGCTTCTGTGTCTTCTTAAAACTGTTAAGCTCGGTCCTTTTAGGGGTTGGGCGTTGTTTTTCGGAGGTCTCACGGTTCAGGCTTTTGGTGCTTCAGTTAAGGCTTAAGAGCTTCACCCCAAGGTCTTTTTTTCAGCTTCGGGCCCCGACTCAATACTTCTTCTTGGCTGGCAGAGCAGCCACGATCGGGGCCAGGCTTTGGAGGACATCTGGATCCACCACACCAGGATGTTGCTCCTCTTGGCCGTCCTCGAGCGGAAAGTCAGCTCTTGCGAGATCCCATTTAGTCCATGTGTAGTGATGAATTTCTCGCAGTTTGTTCTGCCAATTGTCCTTTGTAAAGGCCTTTGTGTAGCTTTTCTGAGCATGCTCGTCCAGCCAGAAGTGGTGTGTAACTTTGAACTCCACTGCCCATCTGTGGTCGTTGTGTCTCAGCGTGATGCGGGCATGCGGGCAGCATAGCCGATCCAGCAGCTCCAGTGGTGAGCTGTGCAGTCTTGGCGCAAATCCGCGTCCAGGTTCCTGATGTGTTGATGATTCTGTGCTGAGGGAGGCATAAGCAAAGGCAAAGCATACAAGAGACAGAGAAGCAAGAGTAGGGATGCTTTACTATAATTTAAAGAGCCAAGAATCTGGAATCCGACCGGGTGCATCCAAAGGGGCAGGACTGCTCGGAGCAGGCAGGCTGCTTGAAGCGGCAGCACCCCCAGCCTCAACCCAGCACCCAGAACCAACAACCCTTGCCCCTAAACTAGACCTCAATTGAGCTCACATTTGAACCCTACACCCCAAATCCCAAACCCTAAACCCCAAATCCGAAATCCAAAACCTAAACCCGAAACCCTAAACATGAAGCAAGCAGCGGCAGGAGGGGCATTCGAAGAAGCTGCAAAGACAGCCAGCGGTCTGTCGTCTTCCTGCGATTTTGAGGACTCAAGCATCCGAGGGCTTTGGGTGATTAATAGAGTACATTTGTTGATTCGGGCAAGATCCCCTTCCCAAAACTTGTAGCAAAATCAGCCAAGAATCTGCAGGATCATAGACAGGAGCACCCGGCACGGGAGTTGGCGGCAGCTCGGGTCCTTCCTTGGAGATCTAGGGTTTAGGTTCAGGGCCGAGGGTTCAGGGTTTAGGGGGTGATTGAGTTTCATTTTGGTTTGCGCCTCTTAGTTGGGCAGGGTCTGCAAGTCACACAACTTTGCCAAGAATCTGTAGAGTCATCCGGCGGACACGGATGAGGAGCGATGTCTGAAGCAGGAGACGTGGGCTCCAGGTCTTCCTTTCGACTCAGGGAGTGGCTTTCAAGGCAGAAATGGTTGAGGGTTTAGGGTTTAGGGTTCAGGGTTCAGGGTTTAGGGTTTAGGGTTTAGGGTACCCTAAACCCTAAACCCTAAACCCTCAACTTACCATAAACCCTAAATCCCAAGCCCCAAACTCTAAACCCTAAATCCTAAACCCCAAACCCTACATCCTTCGGCGGACTCGGAGGACGAGGTCTGGAACTGCTGCTGCTTCTTCCTGGTGCAGGGTTTAGGGTTTCAGGCCAGGGCTTTGGGGTGTAGGGGTTTAGGGCTTAGGGCTTCAGGCTTCAAGGGCTTCAAAATGGCGTTGCCAAGCGAAAGCCTAGCAAAACCCTAAACCCTAAAACCACCATAAACCCTAAATCCCAAACCCCAAACTCTAAACCCTAAATCCTAAACCCCAAACCCTACATCCTTCGGCGGACTCGGAGGAGAATCGAGGTCTGGAACTGCTGCTGCTTCTTCCTGGTGCAGGGTTTAGGGTTTCAGGCCAGGGCTTTGGGGTGTAGGGGTTTAGGGCTTAGGGTTTCAGGCTTCAAGGGCTTCAAAACGGCGTTGCCAAGCGAAAGCCTAGCAAAACCCTAAACCTAAAACTACCATAAACCCTAAATCCCAAATCCCAAACTCTAAACCCTAAATCCTAAACCCCAAACCCTACATCCTTGGGTAGACTCGGAGGAGAATCGAGGTCTGGAACTGCTGCCGCTTCTTCCTGGTGCAGGGTTTAGGGTTTCAGGCCAGGGCTTTGGGGTGTAGGGGTTTAGGGCTTAGGGCTTAGGGCTTCAGGCTTCAAGGGCTTCAAAATGGCGTTGCCAAGCGAAAGCCTGGCATTCGAACACAGCACCAGAGACCGGCCTGGAGGATTGCAGCTTTCCTCTTCTTGCCCTGGCAAAGGCGACAAGGAGCAGCCTGCCCTGAACCCAGCAAGACCCCCGCTCAGCCCTACATACCCTAGATGAGCCTTCTTCGAAAGCTTCAAGAAGCCTTTCTTTTTTGGTTTTCTTTTCGGGGCTGCTTCGGCGTCAGCTTTCCTCTTCGCAACAGCAGGGAGTTGTCTTTTTTTCTTCTGCTTGATCTTCTTCTTCGCTTGCTGGATCTCTGGATCTCCCTGATTGTCGAGGTCCTCGAGTTGTTCCAAGAGCTCTTCCATGTCAGTGTCATCGTCCTCTTCTTCTGCTGGCGGAAGCAAGCAGGCTGCCATCTTCTGTCTTGCCTCCTCCTTCTCCTCCTCTGTTTCCAAGAAGACGTCCAAGATGAGTGCGTGCAATTGGGCTCGCGAGCTGTTTTTCCTAAAGTCCACCTTTAGCAATGCCAAGAGGTCGTGGCACTGCTTGCATGTGAGGTTGAGGCCGGCGTGGATGCGAGCAAGGGGCAGCGAGAGTGCTGCAGATGTTTGTTCCAGGTGTAGCGGCCCGTGTGGACCTGAAAAGCCTGCACGAACAGGAACAGAAACCCAGTCAGTCAGTTCCGTGATGTGGTGGAACCTGATGGAATTGTGTTTGTAAGGTCGGAACACGGACATCCCAGCAGCTGAGCGAACTCCTGGAGCCAGCTCCAGGTCCCAAGCGACCAAACCAAAAGACCCAACGGCCAAGATCAAAATGATCTCTCCTGTACTCTGTCGCGCAACGACCTCGCCTGATGATCCAGCCAACACAGACAGCCAGGCAGTCGAGGGGCCAAGTGGGAACCTGCTCTCATCTTCCATGTAGTTCAGGAACCATTGCGTTGCCACAACCTGTTGCCACTCCATCTGCTGCGTCGTCGCCGGCCATGTGTGCTGCTTCGACTTGGTTTTCATCAGGTGCTGGAACTCCCGTTTGAGCACCTGGGGCGAGGCCAAAGCCTGTTTCTGCCAAAAGCCCAAACCCCAAACCCTAAAACCCTAAGCCGAAACCCAAACTTCAAAAACCTGAAATTAGGTTTAAGGGGTCTCGAAAGAAAAGACTACAGCCATTATTTAATTTACTTGGCCTCTTTGTGCAAAATGCAGAAGAGGATTAAGGCCAATGCGAAGCGGGAGGCATGTGTGTTGGGGTGCGTGAGCTTCTCGAAGCTGGAGTTCTTTTTTCCCACAGAAGCACAGGCTTTCTGAGCATCAGAAACCTTGAGGCAGGGCACACCACGGCTGGGGATTGCACTGCTGCGTATGCAGGCAACTTGCTTTCCTGTTCGAGATTTCTAGAAGTGGCGGGCATCACGGAGCGAGTCTTTCGCGAGTTGATGTGTGTTTTCGATGATAACAGTGTCTGCAAGATGTTTCGTCACAAAGGTCATGAGCTCCACCATTTGGTCGTTGTATGCCCGCCGCTCGTCTGCTGCTGTTGCGATGCCTGCCATTTCCCGGGTGAGGTGGATCAGCCTGTTGATGGCATTGTGTCGCCAGTGCATGGCTTTGAGAGGCTCCATTGAAGCTCCACGAGACATGGCCTTTTCGCCTTTGAGGACGAGGGCCCACTCTGCATGCATCTGCTCAAGCGTCGCATCGGCAGACGCTGGCACAAGAACCCCAGCATACCGAAAAGGGGGTCGGAGGTAGTACGAGGCCAGGCTTTGCACTCGTCTCCTGATGCAAAAAATAAATTAGAGATTTGAAGGGCGTAGGGCGTAGGGCTTTGGGTTTCAGGTTTAAGGCTTCGAACCTGTGGGAGTCAAGGGTTTAAAATGTAGGGTTCAGCACACTTAGGGTTTATAGGATTTAGGGCTTAGCCCTAAAGCTGAGCATAACCCAAAAGCCCTGTACTGCCGGGGCCCGAACAGACTTTTCCAGGGAGGCCATAGACCCTATAAACCTCAAACCCAAATATGGAATGATTTCAGGCAGCGGGTGTTGTTTTCACATCTTTACATCTAATCCAAAACCCTTTGAAGGAACCCCCTATAAACCCTAAACCCCTAAACCCTAAAGCCTAAACCCAAGAACATGAGAAACCCAAAGCACTTAGGGTTTATAGGATTTAAGGCTTAGCCCTAAAGCTGAGCATAACCCAAAAGCCCTGTACTGCCGGGGCCCGAACAGACTTTTCCAGGGAGGCCATAGACCCTATAAATTAAATCTCAAACCCAAATATGGAATGATTTC